GTATATTACTAATATGTTTATCCTGTACAATGTGCGTCCAAATGTGTTCCAATTCGTCCAGAAAATATTTACACACTTCATCTAATATGAATTGCTAGTATTATAGTAACTTTGAAGTTGTGTTTCAGTTGTATGATGATCTGTTGATTGTCACCTCATAACTTGCTACACTTCATAACCCTACTGCATACGGTTGTATTAGTTAAGATATTAGCAAAGTTAAACTGTAAGCACCAAAAAAGTAGCGACGCACCAACCACATGAAAGAGGTTATTTTCACGTATTAATATAAATACGTATATTTATGAAAATAATAGACGAAAAAAGCGTGGAATTTTTTACACAGAGTAACTTTCTCTGATGTGTGACTAAAGTGCCTCTCGGTTTTGCATCAAAGTGTCGTCAAAGGAATTAAATCACATTCTGAAATAATAGAAAATCACATTCTCCTAACCTTAACCCTGATGCGAAACTACTCGTAATCCGACTAGAACCAATCCTAATATCGCCCTCACTAGGTTAACCTAACCCCAACCTGTCCTTAGCCTAAACTTCAACTGTCTTTCCCAAACTTAACCTGAAACATACTACCATTTATCCCGTTTAATATCATAACACCGCAATAAGCATATTTTAGTCATGACAACAGATAGTATTAACTGCTTGGTTTCACTAACTTGCTGACTGAGCGTCTCAATATCGTCGGTGCTGCCTCACTCCTTTAATGCTTAAAGTTTAACCTAAGATATTCACTGAGACAATACATTTATTCTTCAACTCATCCATTTCTTGTTGATTTATGGTTCTTGCACAACTTTCAGTATATATATATATATATATATATATATATATATATATATATATATATAGGTAAAGTCTGAAGTTTGCTAAACTTAGGAGGAGGAATCCCTGCTATATTTTATACATGTTTGTAGTATGAGTGAAATTCTATTTGTCTACACTGTTAGAAAAACATTTTACTCTGAGAACTAGAAACTCCTAACGATCGGGATATTTTGCGGACCACACGAAAATCCCTTCCACAATGAATCATAATAACTCTTAAGCCAGTAAGTTCCCAAGGCCTTGTGTCTAGTCGTATTATACGTGCTCAATCATTGAGTGTATCAATCTGTATGATGGTGAACTCAATCGGAATACTATTCAAATCTTCATAAACCCATAAAATACCTGACTACTTTTTTGTGTTTTACTTGCAGGAGGGGATGACTGTTCACAGCACTTAATGCACATTGATTAATATGATTACTGTTTTAATTGTTATGTTGTATAATAAGAGAACGAATGCTTTTCCCACTAATCATCAAATCTTTCTATAAAGTATAACCGAAAAAATGTTACTTATTAATATAACCTTGATTATATTGGTTTACTTGTTTACATGAAATCCTGTATTTTCACCAATCATTTTACTCCATTTATGATTATCAGACGACTTGTTTTTCAACCTAATTGTTGGCATCATTCTCCCCAATTTTTTCCTCTCTTTTTTTTAACTTGACCTCTAAGTTGATTATTTTTTCTGTGGCATTTTTTGTCTGCATAATGAGTGGTATGTATACTTGATTTCTCTGCTTTTCGAATTGACTGTAGTGCTTGTATGCATAAGCGTGTATGATATCATCAGGATAAATTTTTCTTTTAGATTGTAAAGTGTTTATTTATTGCTTCCAGACAAACAACATTTGCTTCGTAAAAGCATTTTGTGGAGTGTGTGTGTGCACTTGTATGCATACACTTCTCGTCCTTCATAATACCTATAACTACACTTTTGTCATTTATTTATCATTATCGTGATTCAGCAAATCAGGTTCTTTCTCGCTCTCTCATTGTCTCCTACAGACACACATACACAGTGTGCTTTTGTGAAGTGTGTGTGTGTGGAAACTTAAAGTGCTGTTGTCTTGTTAAAAACTCACTCTAACTGGCTGTCTCAATTCACATATATTATATAGGTTGATTTTTATAACTGAGGTTAGGTGGCAAATGTTTGTCTCTTGATGGCGATGATGATGTTTTCACTTTAGTCAACAAATTTCAAGTTTTACTTATCTTGTTCCAGTGTTATTGGTCTGTGTGCACTTTAACTGCAAAAAGGATATCAATCCGTGATAAATTTTGGAACAAGTCAAACCCCGCAAATACCAAACTCTTGAAAATTATTCTGATGCTAACTGGTGACTTTCTACAGGATGAAGTCGCCTGCAGTTCTAGTGAGAAGTTGTGGCCAGTAGAGTCCATCGGATCAGATATGAAGATACATACTCATCGAGGATACTGGCAGGTAGTCGCACTAAAATCGTGAATTGATAGAAACTGGGATTCATGGACGATTGGATTCTCTTCCAGTGACTGAATGGTCAACGAGCTTACCTTGTAACCTGAAGGTTCAGGATTCGATCTCCGATGAGGTCATAAGTGCATACTGTTGGAAAGTCTCAAACTAGGATGAAACAGTTATCCAATACACCCTGATTTCCAAAGGTTCTCTACTATCAATCTGTAATTACACTTGAAACAACTCAAATTCCTACAATCCAAACTCTTAAAAAAAGATAACACTATTGAATATTACAAAGTCAAGTGATTACTAAAGTGAAAGACCATAACTTCTCCGTTTGACCTCCAATCGCATGTCTGCATGTATGTACATATGTGTGTATGTGTGTTTGTTGGCGGTTTCACCTCGTGGTAACACCTTAATCGATTTCTTTTCACTCATTCACTTTTATTTTCATTCTGTCTACTTAACTTATCCTTCTGCTATGGAAAATTTTATTCCCAGTGATTTTTATTTTGTTGTTTTATGGTTTAAATTCTTTTCCCTCGTGTTTATTTTATCGATTTTATAAAATTTGTGTTTAATAAAAACAGAAAGAGACGGATAAGTACGCATGGTCATAAATAAATATATATGACTATTCTGCATATGAAATTCTAGTTAGGGAATGATATGTAACCTATGTTTCTTCCCACTTATCCCTTGGGTGAATATCATTTACGTGTTGTTGTTTTTTTTGAATAAATTCTTGTGGAAACTTTTAAAATTCGAAAAATTTAAATCATATTTGTCTCTGTCTACCTTTCTTTCCTTCATTTTTTGGACCAATATTTATTATTGTTCTTTCTTTTCCCCGGTTTGACCTTCACACACATTCGGATGCACTGACATGTCATTTTTGTGTATTATATATCCGCTTTCTGTAAACAAAAGATGTGGAGGATTTCAAATGAAATTTTTAATTAGTACTTGGTTCTGACATCTAAGAGATTCTTACCAATAAGTATTAAACAACATCTGAAGAAAATAAACTGAAACTGCTGGACGAAAAGAGTTTGTTTTAGATAGTATTTCTTCCTTACAAGTAGTATACTGAATAAAAGCGTTGATGTTTAAAGTGGTCTGATCCCCAAAAACCATGACTTCTTTTGTCCCCATTTCTTGGAATTTGAATTTCTCAGTTTTACGTCTATTGTGCACTTCTCCTGGGGAATAACACCTCTTTTTGTCGCTTTCATACGCTACCAATTTTGTGAATGCTGTCGTCCGTACGCTTTCTTTTTTGTCATCTTCATTCTGATGTAGGCCGAGTGCGTATTGTTTGCATTCGTGCACTAGTATGCTGTTCATTCTTTCGTCGTCAGTTTGTTAGCTTTGACTTTAACTCATATACATGTATATATATATATATATATATATATATATATATATATATATATATATATATATTTCTATCTATGTAGGACACACCAGTTGTACAGGCATGGATATAAGTATTATTTACATTACATGAATTTGATTTAATGTGAAGTTACAAGGTTGCTGTCCTCTCTGACATTAGTTTGTGTGTACAATCTGATAGCTAGTCGTTCAACGGAGCACATTAAGAAATATAGAAATATTGTCTTCGCATTAACAAAGAAAAACCCAAGTATGTGCTGGATGGATTACAAATATTTGGGAAAAGAATAAAGCTTGAAGTCAATCTCTCAATATAACTTTGTTGTATGCGTCATCGTATCTTGTTCTTTTGTGTTCAAATTGGGTATTAATTTAAAATGAGTGATTTATTTGTATGATTCTGTCATCATTTTTATTGCAATTAACACCAGATGTGAATTGTACTGAATGCAGATTAATATTGGTTATTGTAACGCAGATTTGTTTTACTACACCCACGTCAGCTGAAATTTTTTTTCCACCTTTACCTTAGTAGATAAACTCATGTTTATCCAGCGAACCAGTTCACTTACCCCGTTTAACGATTATATTCTATTTGGGATATACATACTCTGTCTCTACGAAAATAGTTATAACAATAAAAAGATATGCTTAGTAGTTAAAATTGATACAATTTAACTGTATATAGAATTACCATTTTACTCGTTTTGCTCCGGAAACATAGCCGCTAGTTGTTACTGCCGTTTTTATGGTCAGTCATAGAAGTTGGACGTAGAGTTTCAGGTAAGATGTAGTTGTGAAGCTGCATCAATTGAATCGGCTATCGTCTTCCCTGTTGAGTAGTGTTAGCCGACATAGGATTACTCAGGAAAAGAGTTAGCGGTGCTCAAATCGAACCTTGGCTTTAGTCCATGAAGTGTTTGACTGTTGTTTTGGGCCAACCAGGTATGCTGATGTAGACTGGCTGGTCGGGGTCCTAGAGTGACGTCCAGAATCAACGCCTTCAGACTGTTGGTGTATATAGTTCAAAATCGTTCTCCTAAATCCACTAATATTCATTATTCTTCATATAAATATCTTTCGTCCTCTACATTTCTGTTTATCATAGTTCGTTTTAATTTTTCTCTACCTTTGTATACCATTTATGTTTATGATATTCTTTAAAGTAATAATGTGAATTGCGACAAAATAATAATATAATAATTTTTTTGTTAATAATATAAATACTTAATCATCCTATTCTAATGGTAATTCAAATGTTTGTTTTGTTTATTTTCTATTCATTATCCGAATATAGTTCAGGGAATATGTATGTCTTGAAACCTGAAGATATGAGCACTGAAGATGATCAAGGATACTCCGATTCTCAAAATTGTAAAAGGAATACAATTAATAATGATAATAATGAGAATTTCTCAAACTGCATATCATCCACTGTTAACTCTTGTTCCTCTTCAAGTCCAGTTTATCATCAAACATCGTTTAGATCTACTAATGATTGTATTAGTGTTAAAATGTCAGAATGTTGTTCCTCAGACAATGCTAATTCTACAACAGTATCTTTTGCAAATGATTCATCAGCATTTGTTTCAATGGGATTCTCTGTTGCTCTTAAAGCTCCTGATTCTTCGTCCTCCTCCGCTTGTTCATCACCACCTGTTGTCACATGCACAAGTGTTGTCAATTTGCCCACTTGTAATTCTACTATGGTTGATCACAATCTTTCTCATTTACCTACCTATCCAATGAATTCAACAAACTTCGATGAATCATCTCAAAAAGTATAATTCAGTTTTTTTTTCAATGTTTTATTATGCTGCATACGTGAATTTCACTAACTAGTTGAAAGTAGTTGGAAAAAAAGGTGGAAACACTAAGTTTAATGTCGATCGATTATGCAACATTGTTAACCGTTATCTTTCATGTCGTGTGAGCGATGGAAAAAAGACTTGCTCAAAAACCATGTCTGTTTCCATACCTCCCACTTTTCACAAGAATATGTCATAGGAATGAAGTACTACCGAGCGAAATATTGTACGGTATTCATGGTATTTGTTATTAAGTGGTTGCAGGCAAGTGGCAGGAAGCCCCTGGATCTAAGTTTTGTGTTTGTTGGCAACCGTCAGCAAGGCGTGTCTGCAACCTTAAAGGAAGTCATGTTTCCCTTGAGATTTGAACCCATTTCACCCAGTGCTGCAGTCAGAGACGTTACCACTGAGCTATTCAAACTCGCGATTGACCTCCCTTAGGACTGTATTAGACACTTTGGTTAAACACCAGATAGTAAGAATTCGGTCTGCACCAATTAAAGGACTAGATCCATGACACTAGTTACTTTCTACTTACCAGAGTATACGTTCAGAAGTGTTAAACTTGTGTTTTGTATTCATGCTGAGATTTTGTCAGCTACTAGATGATTTAAGTTGTTGGAACCTATGAAATAAGGGAGGCAGTTAACATACTCTGTTCGTCGTCTTTGAGTCAGGAGTAGTATCGTCTTTTTTCATAACCATAAAGTTTATATCGATATATTTCTATGGAATTTTAATATAACCTTAAACTGAGTTAATCCATACATTCGTTTTAATAATGCATTGGTTTATCCATCCTTTTATTGTTTACATATCTGCAACAGTTTTGGTGTAATTATTAGTGTTCCTAATTGCTATAAAATATTTACGGAGTGGTCACTAAAGGATAGGTAGTGCCGTTTTTTTTCTGTTGCTGCTGGTTGATGAGATTTATCGATACGTGCCAACAGATGTGAAATCTGGTATCTTTGTTCAGTATAGATTTAATTCTTGTGTTAAGTAATTTGCAATATATTCAACCACCACCTGCATTGCACCTATGTCGAATTTTACATTTCCCAAGTATTTCGTTCATCATTCATATTTACCACCTTTCAAAAAGACTTATTGAATGAACGCAATTATAATTTCAATGTGACGTACCGACATTAGTTAGAGAATCTATCAAAACTATTGACAGCTGTTCAGCAGTGTTCACCCACGATTACACCAGTGATTGAACTTCAGGCCTTTCAGCTTGCTTAGTGACCCCGTGAACCATTGAATCACTGATTTATTTCACGTTTTAGTGATACCGTCAATCAATGTTTGTCTATATCTTATTTCGACAGCAATCAGTGCAGTTAATGTGATGGCACTTTCTGACTTTCCAATGTTTCATATTGAAACATCTTTGTCATTCCACTTTTCAGTGATACTCTATAGCCGTATCGTTAACAACAATAATATTGTGAACCTAGGTGATGAACAAAGGTGAACAAGAATGAGAATTTAATAATAGGATTTCATGTCGTTTATGATTTTTCCGTGACTCCTTTGAGCTGAATACTTTTCTAATGATACTCTGACCGATAACTACTACCTTGTCGGGTGGTCGGGCTTGAATACCGTAATGACCCAACATGCTAAACTGACTGGGACCTGTCCCTGCAGGTCCTACCATGTCAGGAAGGTTGTTTGGATAGCTGTTAAACTGAAAGCGGTTACTATGGGGTACATGGGCTCCAGTATCCAATCGGATCAAATGGCGTATGAACCCATATGGGTCACCGGAAACCATGGGAATGCAGTTCCTGACGCTACTCCGCTGCCTTGCGGATTAGACTCCAAGTCAAAGGCTCCGGGGTTATCCCTTGATAAAACCACCTGCTTCGGTCTGGGCGCCCGGGCAGTATCTCAGCCCTCACACAATGAATTGAATAAAGCAACAAACAATCAAACTTATCGCGTGCTATTACACGTGTTGCAATTTCCTTCTTTCTTCCCTTCCCGATGATAGTTAACGAATACTGTTTGAACTTGTTAAGCATGACTTTTTTCCTTCCAGATGAAGTTCTTTATCCGTTCTCTGCTTATATATATATTTTTCTCTTTTGATCTATGTTGTTTTATTATTATTGTGTGGCGCATCTTTCTTGGTGCCATATTGTACCAAGTTTTTATGCGCTTAAATAATAATGATACTCTGAATAGTATCATTCTACACCGTTTTATCAGTTTTGACTTCAAATTCTAATATCACTTGAAATTTAGTTTTTGTTGTTGATTCCGTTTCTCAAACCGCTAAAGAAAGCTTCATAACTCTTAATAATTTGCCTAAGGAAACACAAATCCCCTATCCTAATTATCTATCTAAACAGGGAATGCATTTTCTAGATCATTCTATTTCGTTTGTGTGTGTGTGTGTATGTGTATGTTTAGTTGCCAAATAAATGTGTCGTGCAGTCATTGCCCACTTTACTCTTTTATTATTTATCAGTAACAGAAATCTATTATCTTTAGACTGACAAGATAAATGTTGTTAAGTCTGTATGTCGTATCTTTATCTGATAAAGAATTCAAGGATATATATATATATATATATATCCATTCTCATTAATTATTCAGATGATGTCTGTTCAAACTTATGCCAGCCAATATGATCTAGTTAGCGTTTGTTACCTCCTAGACTGTGTAAGCCACACTATGATATAAAGCAACCAGTAGATTGGGAAAATAATAAAAAAGCTTTTTGAATTGTTAATATTCAGCAGTTCACGTTGACAATTGTATTCTGGTTAATTCTATACCCCCTCTCTTTATTATACTTACTCAAACTCACTCCCACCTTTAATATACATACATATATAAAATGGTTTATATTACTGTGAATATCTCATGACTCATTGAAAAACCTTTTCAATTATTTATTTCTTGTGATAATATTTGTAACATTAGGAAACAATTTTCATCTTATTATTGTTACTGCAATTCATGTGTTCATAGTGTGTTATTTGTCTATTTCCTCTTGCTCTCTCTCTCTCTCTCTGCGATGAAATTGTACGCAAACAGAATTGGTGATATTTCTCTATTGCAGTTGCTGGAGTCACTCAGTAGTATTGAGGAATTATTTGTTGAAACTTGTGATTATCGCTTCACAAGAGATGGCTATTGTGGCTTGGTAGCGTAATGGATAACGCAGTGGTGCTTGATAAACGATAAACGCTGACTTCAGTCTTAGTGTAAACATCATTGGGAAGCGGTTACATGCAGATGACAAGTCTCAATCAAGATGAAACATGCCTCTTATATTCCATTGTTAGTTGTCATCTATCGGATAGCCAAAATGAGTGGCTTTTTTTAAAATATTTCAGTGTAACAAGTTGATGTAAAAAGTATTGCAGATTGGGATTGCTCTTTTAGACTATTACTAGTGTTTTTTAGTTGCTTCGCTCACATACTGAGCCAGTTTTTACGTAATTTAAGGCATGTTGCCTGCATTCCTAGCCATTTTTTATGCTCAAGTGTTTTCTCCATCTGGTAAAGAACAGTGTGTGATTGACATCTCGGGTAATCGGTTAAAGTCGTGATCATTACTAACCACCAACTGTAACAGTTTAATAACTTCACTTATTAGGCGAAATGTTGGAAATTTTCATCGGGTTAACACAATTAACTATGAACTGTTGAAACATGTGTTCATAATAACGCCATTAATTTTTCTGCAATAAGTGTATCATAATGTCATATCATCATCATATGATATTGTTAAAATGTAAATGCTATTCATCCATTATTATGTATTATATGTGCAGTTGAACTATTTATTTTTGGATGAAATAACTAGTTAGGTCAGTGTGATTTTCAGTTATCCTTTATGTAACTAACATTAGCTTATGATGAAAAGAGAAATAATTTTCTCCTACATGTCATTATTGATCTTCGTAAGTGGTATTCAGTTCAGTAATATTTCAATAAATGTACTACTACAAAATAAGAAACTGCATAAGATAAGGCGTTTACCTAACCAATAACAACAAGCACCGATCACTGCCAACAGGAGGAGATTGGTGGAGTTAACCTCTTTCACTTATCTAGATAGCATCGTTTCAACTACAACTGTCACAGTTATGGATGTCAAAGATAGAACCGGAAAATCAGGACACACCTTCATTAATCTGAAATCAGTGTGGAAATCTACTTCACTGAGGAGCATAAAGAACAACATTCAGATTTTCAACAGCATAGTGAAAGTCAGATGGTCAGAAAACATTAGTAACAAAGGATTTTGGCAATGAACTAGCCAAAAACCCATTGTCCAACAGGTTCACCAAAGTGGATGGAACTGGATACACACTGAGGAGGTCATAAAGCTTCAAGCCCTTGAGTTGAAACCGAATAAGAAACGATGAGTTGGAGTGTCCGAGGTTGAAATGGAGGTGATCTTGTGAGAAGGAGATGAGTGATTATGAACAATCGTGGAGCTAGCTAGCTAAGGGGGGAGAGTTGCAAAGAACAGGTTCAAATGGAAATATGTTATTGAAGCTCTATGTTCCACTAGAGACCCCAGTGGAATAATAATAAAGCATTTGCACACTGCTTTAAGCAAATTCGTATTTAAGCTAAATGCGAGCTGCAAAAAGAGGAGGTAATTGAAGGATATTTGTTCAATGACAACCACAAAGAGTTTTAGTAAATTTGTTTTTGGATGTGATCTGTTCTTCAATGAACTTTATAGTCTGAGATCACTGATCTTATGTTTTTGACTAGGAGTTTCCTTCTGGGATTCTCGAATCGTATTGATCAGCTCAATTATTCCAAAAAATGTATCTCTTTTTCAATATACTATTGTAGAACAGAGGCTTATCGAGTGTATACAGGTGTGAACACTTCAGAATGACTGAAACCTATTACTTGAGAAATATCTAGTTGCTATGGTTTTGGAGTACGTCGGTGGCACAGCGGTTAAGACGCTCGCCGACCATGCACATGGTCCGGGGTTCGAGCCCCGGCCGGCGCACACCTTTACCTCGCTAAGCCAGTAGTGAGACTGGTAAGGAGGAAAGGTTGGGCATGAGGCCAGCAACCCCATCCTGTAAAAAAAAAATAAACTGCTACAGAAACTTGTAGCCTTATTTTCCACTGGGGAACGTGAAGGAAAAATTATCATTTTTTATTGTAGAACAACCCCACACCTTTGATTTCAATAAAACACACACCGTTCCTTAAATACCTAGGTGGATTGATAGTAGGTCAGATTATTTCCCTAACATGTCTACATATATGTACTAGTTTAATTAGGTAATTCTGTATTGATATTATCATGATTATTTATATAACATTGTGTTATGGATACATGTTGGCCAAGTTATAAATGCCTTTTATTGTGTGCAGTAATTTTGTGTTAACAGGTTTTGTGGTGTACGTGTAAGTGGGCTTGTGTATAATATTGTGACCTGATGAGGACACTAAATACATGTATCTATCTAATTCAGTTCAATGTCTCTTTCCATCTCTTGCTTCATTCCCCTCTCTCTCTCTCTCCCGTGATTGTGTATCATTTTTTTTTTATCGTTTTCGTATTCTCTCCGATCCGATCGGATTGGATCATTTAAGTTCTCCTGAATTCATTCATTCATTCACTCTTAGAGTGTATACATTACATTTTCACATTGTGCTTCTATTATCGTTGACTTTGTGTACGAGCTAAACTAGCCACTTGTGTGTTTATACACTGATCCATGCATATATATATGCATTCAGATACATCATAAACTTATTGATATGACATACACACTAAATGAATCTTGTATAAATTAAAACAGTAGTAGTAGTAATAATAATGCCAATGCTTTGTTTTTTTTTAATGTTTTGTGTTCAATATCCTTTTAAGCATACTGTGTATGATCTTTAATCTTTGGTTTAGACTTACTTTATTTGCTTAACAAAGTTAGAGAGAGAGAGATCAGAAATCAAACACATTGTAACAATAACGCTGTATCCTCCTAATTGATAAAAAGGTTAAAGATCTCATTCACAGTCTGTTTCACTTATTAGTTAGTATGGATATAGTATTACTTGATTCATTTATGGATAGTCCAGTGAAATTCATATAATACATTGTGATATTTCCTAATGTAGACATACATATGAAGATTTACTTCTGTAGTTCACCTTCGAGCGGTTTTAGGAGTGGGAATACCATGCAGTTTTAGATTTAGTAGTCTTTACTTTTCATCATTGAAACACTACAGAATTTTATTTTAGTAACTTGAGTTAGTAACAGAAGGCGGCATATGTAATGATGGGAATTAACTCTGCTTACTTTTAGCTTCTTATGTAATGACTTGCTGGCTGAGAATGATGCTGATGATCCATATCTCCGAGGCGGCATAATCCTGTTATGTACAAATAAATGCTTGAAAAAATCTTAACAAAAAACTTCAGCATTTTCCCCCTTATGAGTATAATATGTAAAGTGGTCCTATCTAGGGTCACAGCATAGTACAACCAATTCAAGGTTGAACGATTCTTAATGAAATAGTCTCGAATACCAGTGATACTTAAAAGAAGAATATATGAAAAGACTACGCATCTCTGATCATAGTTATCTTGATATATCCATCACCCAACCACAGAGTATTATCGAAACCATACTCCCAGTGCTTTATGCCGAAGGCAAACCAGCAGATGACATTTTGCACTAAGAGCTTTGTATAATGTATTCCGCCTACTGCTCTTCTCGATAACCAGTATTAATTGTAGTAGGTTTAGTTTGGATGAAGAATCAATCATCGGATGTATTTTCCCTATTTAGGTTGTAATACAAGTTAAGGAACTGAAAATCGACCAAGAGAGTACAAAGTGATGAACATTAAATAAAGTTATTCTTTGTACGCAATTTCGTGATCGCCTATGCGTGGAGAAAGGACTTAAGGTTTACATGAGGAATACAAATTTGGTGACTGAAACATCTAAGGAAGTGGAAGGAAAGACGTTTCTTAAGAAATTTATTCATAATAGGGTTTTCTGCTTTTTATCCTGTACTGTCTTATGGATTGTATCTTCTTGAACTTATGCATTTCTGTGATACTTTCTTTTCATTATTCCCATTTCCTTTGTATTACTGAAGTCAAGTTCTGTGAAGTTATTGACTGATCACTGTATATTCACACTGACAGGTTGTCTCATTAAATTCCTTTGTATATGAAAGGGTAAAAGTAAATAATCTGTTGCCGATTGTGTAATTGTTACTTGTGTTTGATCGATGCTAAGTGTGCTTATTAGTAGATTACAAACGTTCCTCCAGTTATCCTAGCTATCGTAGTTCATTTCTCACAATTCAGTATGAACATTATATACACAGTGCACCGTTGCATATATATATATATATATATACTGTTGTCCTTAAAGTTTAAGTAATTATTTGTCTAGGAGTCTAACTGAGTATTTCATAATGGGTTTATTATTGTTTTTTTTTTGCTTTTGATAAACTTAACAATGGTACTGAAACAGAGCTGTGTAGCTATGGCGTGGGACAACTTGAAGTCCTTTTATAAAAACTGACCAAGGTAGTGTGTATAACAACAAGTGCACCATATGTGTATGCATCAATGTTGAGTTCATTTTTCTGCCTCTCCCTTACACATACACACATACATACATACCTTCAATCTCTAATAATATCTGTTATTTCTCTTTATTAATAATTTTATTATTGGTTATTGTGCTCACAATCATCAGTGATTATTGGTGTTTGTTTTTATGCTTTGGGTGTGTGTGTGTATATGTATGATCTGCACACTTAATGATTGTCATAAATATTATAAAAATGATCACTACTAAACTTTGCTGCTGTTCGAACATTATATATCTGGTCTAGTATACCTGTTAGCCATTCGGATATAGTATTGTCTGTCTAGTTCATATAATAATTCTCGTGAATCATGCTTATCCCTTGTATTATTCATATACTCAGTTTGGTGATGAAGAATATGTCTGGACTATAAGTAATATTATTCTTATCACATTATTATAACTGCTGTTAAGCATATGTATATATTTACGTATGCAAATAACATTGAAATACTTTTCTTATTATGTAATTATTATAGATTGTCAGTACAACTTTCAAATCAATGAGTATATCATCTTCATCTTTGTCATCTTTCCCAACTGGAATGTATTCATCATCTAATGCAAATTTTATTGACCTATCCAATTCTGATTCAAAACGTTCACGTTTATGTTTTGATGATGTGAACAATACGCATAGAGTAGTTAGTGGTAGTGCTGGTTGTAGTGAAGGGATAATCATGAATGATTGTATCCCGAATTATCAGTATACATCGTCAAATCTTTCTACGGTTCAATCACATAATCAAATCCTACAAAATTATCAATTTAATAACAATAATAATATACATGGAGCTCACTCACGTGCCAATACATCTCCTTTGTCATCAGCAGCAGAGGTATCAGGAGAATGGTATCCATCAAGCTTCGGAGTGGTTAACTCATCTGAACAGTCTTATCATCCATTGTTAGAGGTGGCAGCGGCCTCTGCACCGTCATCATCGTCAGTAGTATGTAATTCGTCTTCCTCCACAAAGGTGAGTGAATGTTCTAGTTATCTTCAGGTTATGGGTACAAATTACCATCCTGCACTGAAAGATATTGCTCAATCAACGGGTGTTTATTCGAACAATTCTTGTATTACACCATCATCGTCTTCATTTCTGCATACATCAAGTATTGGATCACAAGGCGTTGTCACTGGTGGTACTGCTGCTATCGATACTACCTCCCTTGCTAGTACTAGTAATGCTTCGCGACAATTTCTTAGCTCTAATAATCCTATTCTTCCTCCTCCTCCTCCTCTTCATCATCAGCAACAGCAGCAGCAGCAGCGACAACAGAATTCTAGATCCCATTTGAACTATAGTCGATCACAGTCGTCTGGCCTTTGTAGTTCTGTTGCATGTTGTTCACCTGAGCCTAACTTAAATCTGTCTGGAAATATGCTCAATACAACTAATGCTTCTACAAGTAATACTTGTTTGTCTTTCAATTTTGATAAAAATACTGCATGCCTTCCCAGTGAAAATACCGTTGTTAGTAATCATTCATATGCATCAACTTCTTCAATGAATGATATACATTATCAAACCTTACAACAACAAAAACAACAACACATAAAAATGCCTATTCTTCTGCCTCCACCTTCTCTTACCTCCTATCGTCTGCCTTCTCATTATTCTGGTGATCCTATTATGAACACTTCAAAAACACATATAGGAATGATAAGTTCCACTTCTGTAACAAATGGTTCTCTAAGCTTTATGCAACAATCGAATCCATCAGATTTCATTGATACACAGTTAATGAAGAAAGATCGTGGCGAATCAGATGGTGGTGGAGGGTCAAGTGAATCAGAAGTATCTAATGATTATTTTAGTGCTGCTAGACGTGGTGGAAGTAGTAGTAGTTTTCAATTTGATAATATTAACATCAATAACAACACTAACCCACCCACTATGGACAGAAACTTCGCCTTAATGAACAATGAATTACTGACTAGTAAGAAATATGATTGTAATAACAATAATAATAATAATGATGGAACTGGAGAAGATGATTACCTAACAGGTGATGATAGTGATTTAGACGATGGTGTTGACAGTGTCGATGATGATTATGACGATGAAGATTTAGACGAATACTACGATGATGATTCGTATAATGATACTGATGATCCAGATGGGGATTACGATGAGCAAGAAGGTGAAGAAGATGAATTCAGTTGTGGTGGTGGTGGTGGGCCTGGAGGTGTAGATATCCTAGACATGTCTGAAGGGACTGGTCAGTCTAGCTTCACTTGTTCCACATCGTCATACCATAAGTCAGAATATGAAACAGAATCAAATCTTATCGGGAACAATTCTTCTCATATTCATGCCAACTCAAATAATAACAACAGAACTGCTACTCCAAACAATCCTACTACTACTACTACTAATAATAATAATAACAGCGACAATAATGAAGCGTTATATAATGATTATACTAAACACAAAAATGGTTTTCGACTTGGACAGATATTTACAACATCAGTGGAACATGATTATAAAGTTATTGAATTAGTTCAACAGTTTATTCCGGTGAGTTATACAAATAATCTGCGCATTATGTCTATTGTATTCTAGATGTTGATAGCTATATTAATAGTGATATATTGTAGCCTTGTGTACAATTCAATTCATAGTCAGCTAGAACTCAATTGCTCTTTGATAGGTTTTTTCATGTATGAGGCGATGAGCCACACTTATGGTATGAGAGGTGCAGGTACTATCCAATTGTCCAGGTTGTAGTAGGTGGAGTGTGATCCGACTTTTGAACTCCTTATGGGTTGAAACTCAAGTATTACAGCCAATGAGCCACGTCCCCACCAATCAAGGTTATCAGTCGAGTGAAAGTATAGTCCAGCAAGAAATGTGTACCATTAGGATTATTCATAATGGAAATTAAAACCGTATATTTGACACTGACTAGTGACATAACAGAACTACAATCCCGCATCAGTAGATAATTCATTGTTATCAATTCACTTGTGATAATTATAGTTAAGTTTTGAAATTTCTGTATGGTCAAGCATTGAAAGTTACGTTACTTGTCTACTATGTTTTCGATACCTCTTATGATGTCGTTAACTGAAGTGACTTGGTGTCACTAACATAATATTCATCCAAGTGTTGTGAGTCATGAAACGTTATTTTGTTGTCATGGGGATTTCATACTCTTAGTTTAACATAGATGTAGGATATTTGATGATTGTTTGAATACCTGTAGGGGTCTAAAGTCGGCCCTTTGCTTGAAGACTGATTTATATCTGTGCATTTTCTGACAATATGAAGCGGAGTGAATTTCTTTCACAGAGTATTCCGACTTCATGGTAATTGGCAATCTGGTGAAGATTGATTGATTAAGCTATAAACTGTACTTATAAAAGACCAACTGGATACTAACGACGTGTCTTGTACCAAAACAGGCGAAGTAAGATTTGGATAAAACAAGAACAACAATGGTTTGTTCAGATTAATATGGTACCATCATTTATTTCGTTGGCTTCTCATCAACTGGCTTACAGCCTAAATATATTACGAGGTTTATGCACAAAAGGTTTTAACATACTTGCAAATTTTTCATGATGTCAGTTGACAGAAGGTTCCATGATTAGTGAACAGTGCTCAGAAAATTGCGCTTACGTAGTTTCTAGACTGGTAGTTCAAGTTTAAACAAAATAAATGTATGCATACAATGGTGAAGGAGTTACGTAATAAAGACGAGAGATGAGTACGATGCTGAGTGACTAATAAATTAGGTAACAATGTACTGAGTAAAACTCAAATAATAGAAAAAAGACACAAGCAAAACTACGCTATGTCAAAGGGGTGAGATTAAAACCAAAGAGTACGTCTTGTCTCTTGTTTCTATGATTTGAGTTTTACTCAGTACATTGTTACCTAATTTATTAGTCACTCAGCATCGTACTCATCTCTCGTCTTTATTACGTAACTCCTTCACCATTGTATGCATACATTTATTTTGTTTAAACTTGAACTATCAGTCTAGAAACTACGTAAGCGCAATTTTCTGAGCACTGTTCACTAATCGTGGAACCTTCTGTCAACTGACATCATGAAAAATTTGCAAGTATGTTAAAACCTTTTGTGCATAAACCTCGTAATATATTTAGGCTGTAAGCCAGTTGATGAGAAGCCAACGAAATAAATGATGGTACCAGATTATTCTGAACAAACCACTGTTTTTCTTGCTTTATTCAAATTCATCAAGGGGAATAAATGCATAAAGTAAGGTTTGCTTAAATTCACCGCTTAGTTGCAACAGTAGTGGAGCGTCGAGTGAAGCAACCTTCGTCATGGAGCAAATTTCGAATGTTTCTTTCGAAAGGAAGACGGTGTAAATAAAATTCTCAACACATTATCTATTTTGGTCATATTAATTAATTGTTGATTAGCAAACTCTAATCTCTTGTGAGAAAAGCTAGTGTAATTAGTTCATTTTTCTTTTATGTTGTGTATATTTCATCAGGCGCGTCTGTGTTAGAGCGGTAGGATGTTCGCCAATCACGTTTCTTGTGGCCCGGGGTTCGACTCTCGGCCGACACCTAAACCTCACCTAGCCGGTGGTAATCCCAGCAAAGACGGAAGCCTGGGTATGGGGCCAGTGACTCCACCCCATAAAAACGATACCACCGCTACAGAAACCTCAAAGCCGTAGCTTGAATCCTTATTTTCCATTCTGAACTCAAAGGAATAACATATTTTATCAGTCTACATTTATTGTTCCACTTGTGAATCTGGTTAATTGTCTAGTTTTCTGTGAAAAGTGTATTCATTCAAACTCTCACAAAGTGGATTACTTACTGGAGAAGAGATCGAATTGTACCGTTCTCGATAAAATCCACTAACTGATCAACCAACGTGTATATATTTAATTTGCATGTATATAGGAGTTTGGTAGCTTTTTTCAACTGTGAATTGCTGTTTACTTTTTATTTTTATTTTGTTTTTACTCTTTTTCTTTTAGAAATTAAAATGTAGTCTAGCTGAATTATGCTCATTTTTAAAATCAAGAAATCTTGAATCCATTGATCCATCTTCTATTTCTAATAATAGTAATAATAACAGTAACTGCAGCAACAATGAAGTCATCAATGAATGTATCAATGCTGATTCTGGGATGATGTATGGTGGACCATCATCTTATATAGGAAATTATTCAAATTCCCTTTTATTATTATCCTCATCATCAACAACATCGCCTTCTGTACAGGAATCACAACTGCATAATACCAATATTATTGATTCTCAGGGAAAATTAACTCATCCTATCATTAGCTGCTCAACTGAAACCAATGCGTCAATGTTAAAAAATGAAAGAGTTAATTATTTTCCTATACCTGGTTCCGCTCAATTTAATGACAATAATATAATTCTAAATAATCCGTATTTAGATGATTTATTGTCTTCTTTATGCTCATTATTAGAGACATGTTTATTTTATTTAGTTGATTGGATGGCTCAAATTGAACCTTTTAAGGTGTTACCGGTAAGTTGTCGACATTTCACTTGTACATACATATTAATCTTTACTAATTTTGTTTGGTCTCTGATTCATTTTGTTAGAAGTAGGCTGGGCGGAGAAGATCTGTCGATTTTGTCAGTGTATACAGACTTGGATGTTTTGATTAGACGGTATATATATATATATATATATATATATATATATATATATATATATATATATATATAAATTGTAGAAACTGACTTGAAAAGGTGTCAATTCAAGTTTCTATAAGTTATAAAAACCTGAAATCTACTCGAATCCATGCAGTTGTATGAGAGCTTATGGAGGGTCGTTTACTTAAGTGATAACAGCCACTAATGTTAGTATGGGACATTCATCGTGACTATTCTTACTTTTAATGCCGTTATGGATGTGCTGTTAAAAGTCACCCTTGTTTACTCCAGTCTTTTAAGGATTAACGGGTTACCGGGAAAGAGTCAAGTTGATTGATTGATGTAGCCGTTTTCGGTGAAGACGCTGATCAAATGTATAAATTCGAACATTCAGAAAAAAATTGAGTATGGTAGAGATATGATTCGCTCCCTTCAAATGCAGGGTGATGCTGCGGGTTTGGTTGTGACTGATGACTGTTTTGGGGATATGGTGTGGATGTGTTGCCAAAGTCACAAATTTAGGGAGTTGCATTAACCCTAAAGAACTAACTGCAGATCAAATCTCATTACAGATACTAAAGCCTAGTTTGGCATCTGCTATCATGCATCATCTTTGTCATCTGTCATGATATCTGGCTATCCATCAGTAGACCTTTGCATTGTGTACCGACTCCCTTCATCATACTTTACGGCTATACTAAGCGGTCGTTTTTCATAACAGGTTCATCTTCGTGTTAGCTGGAGCAGCACTGCTATTATAAATGCAGTTGGGTGGAGAGTGTTAAGCAAACAAGAAGATCAATCGATGGTATCATGAAATTATTGACACAGAGAGGCGTAGATTACTTGTATGATGTCCTCGAGATGCTAACAATCAAAATTTGGAGACTGTTAGCGACGTGTCTGCGACACATCATCAGTCTCCATTTCTCTCTTCGGTAACCTTTCATCTTCTATGGTTTGATTACTTTTCTTTCCTTGCTTTGTTTATGGTTATGCGGGTTACTGTAATTTGAACCTATTAGTCAGTCATCTAGTACGGTCGAATGTAGATTGTTTCCGATTTTCCCTCTGGAATCTTCTCAGCTTGCCTCACGTATTTTGTATTCGATCTACTTTGTGTGAAGAGACTTAAGGGTTTATCATAGTGTTTGTGTGTTGTTGTGCAACATAACTGTTGGGATATATATATATATATATATATATATTGTAGTCATCATGAGCTAATGTCAGCTCATGATGAAATCCTGAAACCAATCAAATCCCTACAAACCAACACTTGAATATGTATATTGTGTTATAAAGTTTTTGCAAGTTTTTCTGAAGCTAGAGAAGCTTTATTGAATTGAATTTTTGATTTTCCCGTCGATTGATTGGACCGAAGTGCTCGGTCTCAGGTTGACATGTCGGTTTTTTTTCAATCGACGGGAAAATCAAAAATTCAATTCAATAATTTATATGACCCGTTGCACAAGAGGTGGCCCAAGTGGTCTAGTGGATAACTCTTTGGCGTTTGAAACTATGGACACTACTGGGTTCGAGCCTCGGTGGGAACATCACTCACTGAGAAATGCAGGTACATCTAGACGACGAGTCTCAAATAGGATGAAATGTGCATCCTGTATTCCACTGCTAGCCACCATCCACCAATTGTATAGAGAAGCTTTAGTTTAAGGATTTCTCAAAATACATCTCAACTTCCCTTATTATTATTATATGGCAGCATTAGATAATAGACATTCCCTAACTTGAAAGTGTTTCTTCACACATAAGTTCGATGTTAAACAGAAACGCCTCCAAAGCATTGATCATTTTGATTCCTATCCACCATCCTTCTCAACTATGGTTATCAACCGAAGGACGGTTACATTGAACACTAAGCCTATTTCATGGTAATACACTAGAACACTGAGAGACATTGGATGCTTGAAATTTTTCCAGATTTTATTAATTGGCTGGTTAAAGTCGTTCACTAATTTGCTATAATATCAGTCACTGCGATTTAGATATATTAGCTTTGTATGACGCAAGTTTTATTCAATAATTTTTTTATTCTAATGACATTTATTGATTTATGTATAAAACTTTGGCACTGTAGTAGAGTATAACTCCATTATGGATAAGATTTTATTTTGATAAGCCACACAGTGTTACACAGTAATATTAACTGATGACCACGTTTCGAGCACAAATTACTCCTCGTAATTATATCAAGCTACTCACACTACTTTTTTCCTTCGTTTATATACATGTGTGAAATTGACCAGATATTCGAATAAAAATCAATATGTGATAATGTAGATTCAGAAATAATAATACGAGTGTTATTGATCAATTACAATCAGATGGAAAATACGACGAGTGTTTTTATACTCATAATAAGTAACTTGTTGGCGGAACATAAGAATTTAGCTAAGGTAAGAATAGTTGACCACGAGAAGATAAGTAATTTCGAAAAACGCTCAGCGATCGCACTACATGCATTAAGACACAACCACACAATGGGGTGGGAGAGGGTTAAGATCCTAAGAGGTAATCTATGTAGGTGGAGAGAGAAATTGATTACTGAATCCTGGTTCATTGAGTCTACACCCAACACATGCAACAGAAATCACTCAATGCAAATACCAGAAATATGGAAGATATTATTATCGCCAATCAAATCAGAAGAGGATAATAAATAATCTCAAATTTCTATTTCAATTCAGACACATCAGAACATTTTAACAAGTAACTTATTTGACTATAAAAACACTAGTCTTATTTCCCATTTGATTGTAATTGATCAATAACACTCGTATTATTATTTCTGAATGTACATTAACACATATTGAATTTTATTCCAATATCTAATCGATTCCACACATGTATATAAATGAAGGAAGACGTTGTGTGAGTAGCTTGATATAATTACGAGGAGTAATTTGTGCTCGAAACGTGGTCATCAGTTAATATTACTGTGTAACACTGTGTGATTTATCGAAACAAAATCTTTTCCATAATGGAGTCTCATGACACTTTTTTTACAAGGTGTTCTAAGTTGTTTCAATGTGGACTAATAGACATGTGTTTGCGTGTATATTGTCTCACTTTGATCCTTCCTTTTTTGATCATGCGTTGTTAATTTATACTTTCGAGTTGATAGTTGTTTTTTTTGAAGTTATTTGCTTTTTCCTATAGTTAGACTAATAATATTCACGCAATAATTGTAGTTGGAATGAAAGTCTAGGTCGTGACACATTTTGCACCAGCGATATTTGATATGTCAACGCAAGATTACCAGCTAAGAGACCCAACTACCAACTGAGTCGTAATTTATCTGATTAAGCGATGTGTCAGTTGTCTGAAGTTTTAATATTTGCTTGATTGAATTTATATATGGTGTAAAATAGGTGAATGAGTAAAAATTAAAGAAAGCGGTACATGTTTCCTCCCTTAGATTCTCTCCAATAGAAATACCAACTGTTCCTTGAATTCATCAAATCGGTATCTGAAACCACGAACATGCATAGAATACGAGGTTATTTCTAGGATGGTGGTTAAACTTCAGATCTAAGACTCGTGTTTCGTCCTTTCTGGGACTGGTCATCTGGATTTCTCCCGGTATGTGATGTTGTGCCGAATAGGGCTCGAACCCAGTGATCACCTTAAATGCCAAATCTCTATCCACTTGGCAACTGGAGCATGATAATCCCTCTTGCCTAAGAGGTAACTAGTAACTTCAACTTCTTAATTCTGGAAATATCGAGAGTTCCGTTTAAGGAAGCTGTTTACCGAAGTGAAATTGACTAATGATCTCAGATGTGCTAACGAGAAACTACACATATGAATAACGTATAGAATGGCTTATTTACATTTCCACATGTAGATCTTTTCAAAAATGTGCTCTAAGTCAGGTGATAGTAAAAATTCTTACACGTTTTATCTATCTCAACGTATTTCTCTTTCTCTAAACATCGTGTAAAAAGACTAGTAGTATGTTAACGCGAACCTGTTCATATCTCTTTTTTAAAATACTGAACGATTCTAGTGAATAAAACTTTATTGTTGCTGTTGTTGTTACCACTGTTTTCATCCTCTCCGTTGCCATGGCTACTGTGTTGATGATTGACTGTGGAAATTAGAGAAAATTCACCTTTTTGTGTATTGTCTTTGTTGTGTCGTTTTTTCCGCCTTGTTCTAGGCATACCATCTTATAACTTGTTGTATGTGCACATGTTTATCTTGTTCATCTGTGTATTGTTTGACAATAAAAGCATATTTACATTACCAGTATCATGCTAAAGTGAATTTTATTCATTAATATCATTATTAAACTGGTAAGGTTGTTCATGTATGTCATTGATTTACAGAAGTGATCTGCTGTATATATATATATATATATATATATGATTTATTCATTGTTTAACTATAGAATTAGCAACTGATTTTGCATTATCCTTCAAGTTCCTGTTGTCTAACAATGCAATAAATATCTGATAAAATTGAGTTATTTTAACACGGCTAAGAAATGAGAAGGGAGCACCAAGCTCCCACTCTCCTAGTGTAGTCCGACTGAGATTGAGATGAAAAAAGACCTTGTTACATCATGCTTTGAACAGACGGCTGTGCATAAAATTAGACGAAGTTCTTGTGCTTAAAATAAAACCAAGGTATCTTTTAGCTCAGTTTGTAGGGAACTGAAACAGTGACTTGCAGGCCACGAGCTCAACATTTTCAATGACACCTTCTAGCTTCAATCATTATTTTATAATATCAACTAGGCTTATGTCAGGATCATAGATATTCCCTTGTTCAAAACTCAATAATCAGATAGTGTATAAAGGCATACATTTTTTTATTTATTTTGGAGGGGTATTATTCATTCCTCTTGGTGAATATTTGCAGTATTTGTTTATTTTTCTGCTACTCATGAATAATCCCCATCCAGGCATTAATGAGAAAACAAAACAAACAGTTCACTGAAGAAGATCATGATGAATTCATTTTCTCTAGCTGTACAATCGCACTTATATACATTTTCTTTGTGACAAAAGGTTGGTAACAAAGGAGGTGAATTCTCATAATCATAATTATATTAATCACAAAACATAAGGGAGGCTGAATAAGAATGATAGAGTGAAATAATGAAAGAAATAATTTAATCAATGAGTTGCAATCAGGGTGCACATAAAAACAAGGGTGATTGTAATATTACGTAAGAGTTGGGAAGAATAGAGGAGTTATAACATGTGGTCATGTTGTCATGATAATAGAAGTGTTTGTTGAGTAGAGGACAACCTGCCAAAGATAATATTCTTTCGTCTTCCCTGCATTACTGAAACTCTAGTTATTCAGACAGAGAAACAAGAACTCTGCATACAGAAAAATATTATCTAAAACCACTTTTACCATCATATAGCAACCATTTTTATTTCTACTGACTTGATTTTTGTTTGTTTGATTTGCTAACCCCTCATAACTTGTATTTACTTCGAAGTCTTACATAATACCACATTTTCCTTCGTTTCTATGTGCGTCTTGATTACAACTCATTCATTAAATTACTTATCTTATCCTGTAACTTTAACACTTTTATTCAACTCCTCTCTTATATCAACAACTATGATTATGGCAACTGATCACTTTTGTTACTTTTCTCTTTTGTGAGAAAGAAGTTTATGCAAATGCGATTGAACAGCTAAGTAAAATGATTTCATCACTGAAAAGAACCTCTTCCCTGAACTATTTGTTTTTTCTTCTGTCCCCCCTAGAAACGATATACTCTCACGAGATTAAGGTTGATTATAAGTTTGGATATCATTTCCTCTCTATATGTGACATTCAGGTCAGTGTCACTGCAGCTTTATGATGATTAATGACTAATTCTCTGTGACTTCCCTTCCTTTCAGTAGTATCGCTTCTTTTTATAAATAACGAACAGCACAGTTTCATACTCTAAGTTTTAAATATACTTCTCTCAATACGGATGATATAGACGAATTGTTGAGTTCAATTGATTAGTGAACACGAATATCACTTAAAAGTGTACTTTAAGAATAATATTGCCTTGTTATTTAGTATAATCGTCTTAGTTTTTTTATACAAACAATTTAAAACGAATTCGGTATTCTAAAGGAGATTAGTGTTATTTTAATATTCAAGGGCAGTTGTAACTCAAGATGATTAGTTTTGCAGTTGTTGTTTTTTGAGAATCACTTTCATTGTATGCATCAGTATTGGTGGTGATTTCTAATCACATGACTATTAGATTATATTATGCATGTATTCTTTATGCTGAACTTAGTTCGTGTCCTTTTAGCTCAACTGAATGAATAGTCATCAAAACAATAAACTTGAGGTCAAGATAACTTTACTATGTATGCTATGATCTACTCACAACAATATAGAAGGCAGTCGAGAATAAAAGGGTAACTAGGGGAGGAGGAGGAGGAGGCATAGTTGATAACGTACTCGTGAAGTGTCATCGTTTTTCGTGTCCTCTTTAGCTAACTTGTTTTAATCGGGTTTATTCAGTTGTTTTGTTGATAGTGGCTGAAATCGCATCTTTTACTGTTTGTGTAATTCAAAGTGAATGCATAATATTTGTTTTCACTTTTTGTGGTGAGTAACATTGAGGTTAGGCGTAAAGCCTTGGGGGGCGAGGAGGAAAAGTCAATCGATAGGATTTTGAAGTTGCATCAATTGAAATGACTAGTACACGTTTTACACATGCCAAGTCATCCATCACCTTCCTCATCGAACAATGTTACCTTACATAGGGTTAGTCAGAAAAAAGTTAAAGGCGTTCAGACCAAAAATGGCAGCAGTCCATGAAGTTTTCAGCTTTTGATTTGAACTACATAGTAAGATGTAAACTACCTGGTTGTTGTCCTGGAGGCTGTAAAAATCAATGGCTAGAGACCGTTGGTGATGTGCCATAGATGCACTCACTCTTTATGAATTTCTACATCCATCAAATTCTTATTATTCTCCATGTACTTATTCCTTTTTGCTGTACGTTTCCGTTCATTATAGTTCGTTTGTATTTTTATCCCACCCAGTCTTGTGTGCATTATGAAGTGTGATAACTTGGAATGATGTAGTTTGTTTGCATAATTGTATGGTGGAGATTCAGCCAGTCAGTTAGTCTTCTTTTTTGTTAAGTAGTCCGAATTCTTTTGCCCAGAATGCTTAAGATTACTAAAACAGTTTACAGGATTTCATTATGATCTGACATCGGTTAGAAAACCATTCGAAAACCTGGGATTACTGGACAGTTGTTTCGTCCTAGTTTGGGGATCTTCAGCAGTACGCGCCCGCCGAGGTTTGAACCCACCACCTTATAGTTACAAGGCTAGCGAGCTTGTGGACCATTATGCCACTGGGACCCTACCCAACAGCCCATCAATTCCAACTCCTGCCAATTCACGACATAGCGCGACCGCTAGTCAATGTCTTCGGCGAGTATTTGTCCTCACACCCAATCTATTGCACCCTACTGGTCACGACGTCCCACTAGAACCCCAGGTCACTGCCTAAATAGGGTCAGTCGCTAGTGAGCATCAGATTAATTTTCAATAATTGGTTTGTAGGGATTTGGTTGATTGATTACAGGATTTCATCATGAACCGAAGAGTCGCAAACTGGGACGAAACTGCTGTGCAGTACTCCCAAATTTTCCGATGATTCTCTGACCGATGTCAGCTCATGATGAAGTCCTGTAACCAATCAATCAAATGCCTACAAACCAATACTTATAAAACAGTTCAAAAATATTAATAATCTCTCGGTGTTCAGTTAGAATCGAGGACTTCAGTGGTTTAGAAGTATTATGACCTACAAAATTTGTGAAATATTGACGTCTTTAAAATTCTGTGTGAAGTTATGTCGATTTTATTTGAAACTTATTTGTGTGCGGTAGTCTTAAATGCCAACATCTTTTGTCACACACGCACACCTGCCACACCTCTGCTTGCACTTAACACTGGATATTTAAAAGTTTAGAATCGTATTTTGTGCATTGACAAGTGAAATGGCATGGCATGTTTCCGAACTGTTTTACAATGAGAGGCAAATATTTTAACTCATCACTTTATGTTGGTGTGTTTGGGATGAACAAAGGCTGGACACGCATTTAGTGTTCCATAGATAAATACACTCCTCTTTTACTCTGTCTATGTATCCAAATGTAGTGTAAAATGTTGTATTCCATTATACTTTATCATAGTGAAACAGTTACTAGGGTTAAGGAATTCGTCAAAGCATCAGTTGCGTTTCTTTATTATTCTGGAATCACTTAATTATCAGTTTAAAACGATCTGTTGCATAAACTTAAGATTATCTAGGCATAGTTGTGTTGACAGCTGAGAAAGCTAATTGCTATATTATTTTAGTTATATGAAGTCCTTGTTGTCTGTATGCATACTAGCCAGTCGAGAGATAATAATCACCCACAATCTTTCACTAAAATATTAGTTACCTCTTTGCTTGTTTATTTTTCCCACTTAAGCTCATCTATTTTATATTAAAGCGTAATAGATTCAGTTATTACTTCAAAAATAGTCATGGGCATAATTAAACCTTTTTCGCTTCCCTTCATTGTCGGAGGGGTAGGGGAAGCACAGATACTTACTTGTTAATTATTTAGTTGATCCAAATTGGTTAACATAAACTTCGATATGGCTGGTGTATGTGGATACGTATATTGTATTATGAAATTGAGAAGCTTCTTCGACACAGCTTTTCTAAAATCAAAACAATATCAACATTGTAAGCTGATGAATTTTATTACTATTTGGTAATATATTACAGCATTATTTCTCCTTTTCTATCTTACTTTTAAAGGTTGAAGACAAAATGCAATTGTTGAATAGCAGTTGGAGTGAAATTATCCTACTGGAATTTATTCATTTCTATTTAACACATTTAAATAATATAAAAAGGATAGACTCGGTAAGTATTATGACGTTGGATACTTGTGTTATGTTGTATTACTTTTGTGTGTGAGTGTGTGTGTGTACTTACGTGGATGTCGGTGGTTCAATGGTACACCACTGCTCACCAGTCGTCATACGGATTCGATTCGCGGTTGACGTACTCCTAAAACTTGCCAGTATACTCTAAGTGCCAGTAATTCTGGGAATGAAAGAAGTGTTAGACATGAAGCTGGTAAACCCATCTCGAGAAAATAACACCATCGCTGCTGAAAAACTCAAAACTCGAAGCTTGGAACCCTATACTCCACTCGAAACCTAAAGAACTAGAGAAAAACTTTACGTTGTGCTGTGTTGTTTTGGTTCACTGGAGTAAACAAAAACGGCCTGTTTGAAACCTGGGCTACTAAAATACGTCATCATTATATTGCACATGATATTTCTTGTGTTCAGGTGTTTTCTACTCTCACGATTATCTAAAATGTCTACAACCTGCTGATTCACAAGTTTCTACTAAACTTGAGAAAAAGTAAAATCGTAAATGACAATGCATTTCGACGTATTCATGCGATATCTACCTCTAAGATTTTTTTTAGTACAAACTGCCACTGCTTGAGAAATAAAACGGATTATCTGAAGTCTTCATTTGTTCACAAGATAAGTAATGTTGACGTTAGGCGTAGAGTGTTGGGCAAAGAGGGAAAATCAATCGACGAGGCTATAAAGTTACATAGAATAAGATGGCTAGGTCACGTGCTGCGCATGCCTAACCACCGCCTCCCCCGACGGGCATTGCTAGCTGACATAGGTTCAGGTTGGAAAAGAGCCAGTGGTGGCCAAACAAAAACATGGCCTCATCAATCCATGAAATCCTTGACAGTTAAAGTGAGTCAGGTAGGGAGGGAGATGCAGACTCCCGGGTTGGGGCCCTCGGGACTCTAGGAATCAATGGCTGGAGACAATAGGTGACATGGCTCAAAATCGTTGTCAATGGCCAGCGCAGATGTATTCAGTCTCTGTAATTTTTCATATTCCTTTCTACCATTACCCATTCTGTTTCACTCTTATACTTGTCAGACTGTATTGATTCTCTTCACTCATCTTCTTGTCTACCTCTGTGTGCTATTTGGAACGTGGCAACTCGAACTGGTGCACTTCGGTGCCAAGTTCTATGTTGAATCCAGACAGACAGACTATTATGTCCTTGGGTCAGAAAAATGCACTCCTACACCTTTCTTAATTGTCTTTCAACCAAATGTAGTGCATTTCTCCAGGGAGGTGAAAACGGAATATCACTGCGCGACAGCAGTGTGTCGCGCAATTTGTTTTCACTTACTTCTCTACTTGAAATCGTGGACAAAGAGAAACGATCATGCAACAATTTCCTCTGAAAATTCTGTATTTTATATAAACACTGTTCAGAATTATTATTTTTTAGAAGATTTAGAATGAATAGTTTCCATAAAGACTTTAAAATCACATTCATGCATATCCAGAATTCCTTTACCTTATATCACTATTTAATAAAGAAAGTGAAAACAGATCCATACAAAGAGTGTCCATCTGTGAGAAATTCGATCTATCCAATTTAGTAAAATTAGAAGCTGGATACACGAACACCAGTATCAATGAAAGAGATCTAATTGTAACTCGCCATCTGTGTGTATATATTCAATAAACTGCTTGCTTATCTTCTGGAGTGATATGATGAGTCTATTTATCATTGAATGACTAATATCCATGCGATATATACATAAATTTTGAAAGACATAGGTCAGCAAAGAATATTCTTTTTCGTAACTTCTCATCAAAGCTGCACAGTTAACTAGTGTTTTAAAAGGTCACGAAAAATGCCAGTAAAGGTCAATTAATAAAATCATTTGATAACAATGCATATGAAATTACACGTCACGAAGAAAAAGATGGAGAAATCATGAAACTCGGTCTAGTAGTATTACGTCATCTAAGCGGTGGATATCTTTCAGATATGTGATTATCACTAAAATTGTGAGCACTCGGAAACAACAATGTTGTCGACATGACTAATAGATTCGGAATATCTATCAGGAGTTTGAAAAGAAAGAAAAATATTAAACGAATGAAGATGGATTGCATATCCGACTATTGCTGAGGTTAGAAAAATAGAGAAACAAAATGGTTTAAGGTCACAATGACATCTCAGTGACCTTTCAGAACACTGGTTAACTCTACAGCGATATAAAAATAGAACTTTTGCACTGTGGCAGAGTATAATTCCATCGCGATTATAAGCAATAAATTGTACTCGAAACGTCATCAATAAATATCACTCTATAAGACAGTGAGACTTTATGGAAATAAATTTTACCCACAATCGAGTTAACTCTACAGCCGTGACGAGAAGGTACGAAAGGAAAATTATTTGCTGACGTTCATGAATTTTTAATTGTCATTGGATTTTTACGAAAATGACCCTTATACACAATACTTTAACGATTATATACATGTGACTATCATTCCACACTTCATCGATTACGCAACCTTTTTTGCTACCCAACAAGTTTACTACAAAAACTTGTTTCTTTAAAAATGACTAGGAAATAAATAGCCAATGATACATAAATCAGATGATAAGGCCTTCTTAAAAGACGTATATGCTAATATTTGTGAATAGTAGTCGTTAATTTGTTGAATACTGAAATCGCATGCATCGACTAGCTTCTTGTCAGTGTGTAATCACGATTATTATCATACCTATTGTGTGATTTCATTCAATCGATCTTTGATACTTCTGTTTGAAAATGAAATGTTCGAATTTGTAAAATCAGAAGATTAGTTCGAGTTAAATGTATCAGTGTTTCACTTTTTTAGTGATCATGTAGCTAATATTGATCGACAGAAATTTCGATCATTATTCAAGAATTAACGACTACATCGTTTGCTGCTCAAAGATCACTTTGTGTGTATACAAATCGATGTACTGGAAAGCTGTTTCGTCCTAGTTTGACACTTTCCAGCAGTACGCGATGACTGGGATTTGAACCCAGGATCTGCAGGTTACAAGAGGAGCTCGTAGATGATTCAGTTCCTGGGATCCGATCCAATGGCGCATGAATTCCAACTTCTGCGAATGTATGATAAATATAGCGCAATCACCAGCAAATGTCATAGGCGAGTAACTAATCTCTTACCTGAATTGGTGAACCCCGCTGGTTACTACTTCTCACTGGAACTCCAGGTAAATTCCTGTATAGAGCCAGCCATTAGCGAATATCAGCTTAGTTATGAAGTGTTGCTCTACAAGGTCAAATAATAGATTGGATCAGGTTCCAGTGGCTTAATGATCTACGAGCTCGCCTTGTAACCAGAAGGTCCTGTGTTCGAACCTCGGTGGGTGCGTAGTCCCATGTTTTCTAAAGGATTCTCTAACTAATATCAACTCGTGATCCAACTTGTAACTAATCAAATCCCTGCAAAATTTATTGTGGTTTGACAGTTTATGTATTTAGCTATTTCCATTTTATTAAATGAAATTCGCATTGTTCTAATGCTTCAAGTATTATTGCTAAGGATATCAACGTAGAAAGCTACACATGAATTCAATTGCTCAACTTCTCTACTGATGACTGCTATCTTGACGTGATCAACAGTCTTGAAAATCACTATAATCTGTTGAGTTATATATGTTGAACATATCATACAAGAAAGGTTGAATGGATAATTGTAAGAACAACTATCATTATACCTTGGACAGCTAACACTGTTTAAGGTATCCAACGGTAAATTTGTACTACGGGTGTATGGTGCCTTATTTTATTTATATAAACATCAACCTATCTTCCCACGGGGAGAAAAGGTGGGAAAACATACCTAAACCTTATGAACACTGACTTATAGGTCTCATGCGTATGTTCTACATGCCCTCATAAAACGGGTACTAGTATGCTAACAGATGGCAAACGCCTGATTGCTGTACTTTGTATATTTGTTCACCGGTCGAATTCTGAATATGCATTTTGTCCTATTCAAGACGACTTGGTTGAGGATGTAATAAGACTGGAACCCTCCAGCACATTATTTGTGCGGCAACTGGTAGCTAAGATTCACACTTTGTGCTGCCACCATCTTATTTTGTTTTTCTGCTACACTTGCTATACATTTTTGAATTCACCTAACTAAATTGATGCGTTTGATTGGACACCAAGTAGTAACTAATGTGGCGTGTCTAGCCCATTGTTTTGATGTAGACTGAATTCTGTCAGCCAAGTTTGCAATGTGGCACACCATGCTAGATGATTGGCCATAGTGCGTCGGTGGCACAGTGGTTAGGACTCTCGCCGACTATGCACATGGTCCGAGGTTCGATCCCCTGCCGACGAACACCTGATATCTATGGTCGGCCTGCAAAATTTGGGCTACCGATATCCATGCTGAAAATTCTATACTTGTACCAAAAATACAGTGTGGAATCAATCTGTAATCAAAAATAAAATATTTAAAAAAATTACGGTACACTATGAATGGTTGTTAGATGTTTGGAGGCAGTCGTTAGTAAGCCTGGGTTTTGTGATTGTTGGCACTTGTCAGGAAGGCGTATCTTCAGTCTTGAAGGAACTCATGTCCCTTCTGAGATTTGAACGGAGGCAACCCAGTACTACAATCACAAACTTTCACACTGAGCTTATCGGGCTAGCGATTAACCTTTTGTAGGACTATAATGGTGGATACTTTAATTGGACACTAGGTTGTAAATATTTTCATACTTCTATTTCTTCATTTGGTATCGACTGAGTTCTGTCAATCAAATTTGAAGTATTTCTTTAAGCATATGTATTCTTTGAAGACTAATGCTTTCACACCGGTTTGTTTTACATTTATTTATTTTTTCAATAGAATCCAGGTCTTTGTAATATTTTTTTCTGTGATTTTTCTATATGATAACTATTCTTTTGTTAACGGTTTCATTCTACTTATTTGTTATACCATAATATCTTTTGTTTGTATTCTGTTAACAGGAGATGAAACAACGTCCCACGAGTTTTATGGATCCACTGAACATTTACTCCTCATTGTTTCCAATGAACACAAATCTCGCTAACCATCACAGTAATATCGGTAATGTCAATGTCTCCACATCTTGTTCATCATCACTGTCCAACTCATCGTTATCTATAGAAATATGTGAACTAATCGAAGCTTTGCTAAACACACTGTTAGGTTCACAATCAGAATTAAAGCATAAATTAAATGATTTATTGAAAACATTTCAGCAGTTACAATTGGATCATAAAGAGTTTACTTGCTTAAAATTTATTGTTTTATTCAATCCATCAAAACATGGTGAGTATTTCCGTTTTCTTCTTATTCTCCTACCATTTTAGTTTGTATTTCACATTTTTTTATACAACTCATTCGTCAGTGTAATATTCAACCTGGCAATGGTGATAATAATATTTTAAGTCTAATGCCCCATGTGTGTATGCGTGTGGGTGTGGGTGTTCCCATGGTTTCAAATAATTATGCACGCGTTAGACGTGACTGATTTCCATATCGACCACTTTCTGTCGTCGTCACCATTTATACGTGTGTCTACAAAATGCAGACAGTCTCTTAGCAATGTCTAGGACATTTTGATTGAGAAACGATGTGTCTGTGTCACACTAACCATCACCATTTCAGCACATTAGTGGCAATAAAGTTATTTGGTTGTCTGTTAATATTTCTAAAACATAATTCTTCCTAAAATAAATATAGCTGTTGAATGAGGTTGATAAAGATATGCGGCACTGCACACAGTAGTACTGAAGCAGTTTTCAAATTACTTCCCGGTCAACGCTGTCGAAGGTCTTCCCGAAGTCGATAAAGTTAAGGCAGACTGCCATTCTATGCTTTTTTCGATCACGGTGGGTAGAGTTGCAATTTGATCAGCACATCATTCGTCTTTCCTGAATTCAACTTGTTCCCGTGAGGCGGAGTTCTGCATCCAGTGCATATTTTATTCTTTCCAGGATAACGCTACTTAATATTTTACTTGGAGTGGAAAAGACCATGATTCCACTCCAGTTCTTGAGGCGTAAGTCTCGCTTCTTTGGCAGCCAACAATTCTTAGCATCCTGAAGACCTCAACAAGTGGACCAAAATATCTCACAGTCATAAAGGACAACAGAGCCAACAGTATGTTACTGTTGAATTTAGATTTGTTTAGTACATGCGTAGTCTTAGATACCTAGAAACACTCCAGCATATAATAACTGCACTACGATAATCATATAAAAGTTTTCGCATTTTTTACTTTGATTTCATAGATTTTGTATGTTAGTTTAGTTTATAAGCCGATAATTATATGGAATTATTGAAAATTGAGTATTATACACGATTCTATTGCATTGTGTAGCGCACTTTTTCGGTAACATGAATAAATGTTCAAAAATACTTAAATAGGTGAAAATTTGCATTTAAGTTGAAAAGAATAAGTCTACATTGGAATTACCCCGTCACTAAAAAAAAATCAAAATCGGTGCAACCCACTAGGGGCTAGACGAAAGATGTCTATTATGTCAGAGTGAAGTGGATCTTACCCATTACTGACATAGGTTACCCATAGCTGTCTATCGTAAGTCGACAAAAGTTAGAATTTACGGATCATTCAGTCCCAACCCAGTGCCTCAATTGTTAACTTGAAAGTTGTGGGGTTCTACCTTTTCTTATGGAGTTATAAGGGTGCACTGATGAGGAGTCGCAAACCTCAGGACAAAGCAACTACTGATGGTTGGTGATGGAATCCACCATTGGAATACATAAGGGGGGAGTTGTGCAATAAATATTTTAATAATCTAGAGTCTCATTCCAGATAATCAGGAAGCTAAATAGCACTATGATAAGATCCTACTCTTGATTTTGCTTTACTTGTATTGGTTCGTGATGACGACGTCTTTTGATTGTGATTTGAATGTAGTTCCTTTATTTATTTAGCATTATTAATTCATTCCCTTGCATCCCCAGTGAAATATGGGGCTTCTAGCTTGAGCTTTGAAGTTTCAGTAGCAATGGTGTTTATTTTTTACGGAGTGGGACTGCTTGTTTCATGTCCAACCTTCCCTTTTGACTGAGCTTATTATTGGCTAAGGGTGTGTGTGTGTGTAGGAGTGCATCTGCCGGGAATCAAACCGCTGACCATGTTCGTAGTTGGTGAGTATCCTACCACTGAACCACTGACACAATCCTGAAATCTGCTTATATCAACATTAAATTACATTTTTATTTATGCATCTTATATATATACTAGAATGTATATCTGGATTATTGACATATCATAGTTAGTTACTTATATAAGCGTGTTTATATTCACAATTAATATATTGGAAACAAACGATAGAGAGAAAAAAACAGAACAGAAAGGAATAAAACCTTTGAACATTTGTTGTTTTTGTTGTTATATTCAATAATCTACATGTTTATTATATATATATATATATATATATATATATATATATATATACAACATGCAGCTGAATACATTTTTAACACTCTAGTCTATTTGTATTTGTATTTAATTACAAATGAACACACACACTTACATAGAATACACAATAAGTGTAACCTTGTTTAACCCTTAGTTGTTCTAATGTTGCTACATTTCTCACTTTTTATTTTTTTGTAGTGTGTCTGTGTGTGTTGAAATGGCTCAATGACCTGAATGAAGTAGTGTTGTTTTGTATATTTTGTGTTTTTTTTCTGTGGGTTTTTTGGTAGGTTTTCACATACACAATTCTTTTTTATTGAACCAGAGTATGTTTTCTGCTCTATAATGGAGAAATTATTAGTTACTAAGTTTATTTTTGGCAATGTAAAAAGCGAATACAAGAAAAAACTGTACGTCTTCATTGTATTACACTGGTTAATGAGCGAAAAATTCACTCAACTCCATTCTTATATTATTATTATTATTATTATATTATTTCCTTTAATTCCTAGAGGAACATAGGGCTTCAGCCGCACGTCTCCACTGAGTTCGGTTCTCTGCTAGAGTTTTCACCTGGCTCAAAGTCTGCCCACATGCTTTCATCTCCTCTACACATGACTTCCTCCAAGTCATCCTTGGACGACCAACTCACCGCTTCCCTTTCGGGTTTCACTCGAGGGCTTGTCTCGTGATGTCACTTGATGGTTTCCTCAGCGTATGGCCAATCCACCTCCATTTTTCCTGTGTATTTGTTGCATAATCGGTTCCTGGTTGGTTCGCTCGCAGAGATCCCTGTTGCTGATCTTTTCTGGCCATCCGATCTTGAGTATTGAACGAAGACAACTGTTAATGAAGGTCTGTAGTTTGTTTGAGGTGCGTCGGTGGCACAGTGATTAGGACTCTCGCCGACCATGCACATGGTCCGAGGTTCGATCCCCTGCCGACGCACACCTGATATCTATGGTCAGCCTGCAAAATTTGGGCTACCGATATCTGTGCTGAAAATTCTATACTTGTACCAAAAATACAGTGTGGAATCAAGTTTTGATCAAAAATAAAAAAGTTGATGACGCGCTAAGTCTCTGATCCGTGTAATAACACTGATTTCACATTAGAGTTGAAAATCCGGATCTCATTTTCGATTCTGAGTGCTGTTGACCTTCACACAGACTTGAGAGTAATGAAAGCTTGTCTTGCTTTCCCGATCCTTACTTTAATATCCTCGTCAGTTCCGTCCGCCTGTAGTTGAAACGATGCTTCCCAGGTAGGTAAGGGAGTTTGTTTCTTTCAGATTTCTCCCATTTGTGCTGTCTGATTGTTGTCTGTTGTTGCTGTTGGTGTTGGTCAGGAATCTTCATCACCTCTGTTTTCTCTATGTTTACTTGGAGTCCTATCGTTGATGCTTCTTTTGCCAACTTGTTGCTCTTCACTTGCATCTTCCAGTGGCGATTTGATCAATACATGACTTGTTTCTCCTGAATCCAGCTTGTTTCGGTCGAAGTTTTTCATCCAGGGCTTGTTTGATTCTCTCCAGGCTGACGCGGCTTAGTATTTTCTTTGCAATGGAGAGGTGCATAATGCCGCACCAGCCATCCTTATATCCACACGGCGATTGGACAAAAACTATGATGAAGCTAGGTGAAGGAGAAGTAGGAGGGAAAGTCTATGGGTGGGATGGTTACAACATGTATTGCACTTATACAGTCACTACCTTTCTTTACAACGGGCAATGTGAACTGATATTGGAGAATTAAGTTGGAAAAAGAGTTATGCATATGATTCCTTGATAGGATTATGAGCAATTCATTGTGCTCGAAACGTCATCAGTAAACATTACTGTATAACACTGTAAGACTTTATCAAAACAAAAATTTACCCATAATGGAATTATACTCTACCACAGTGCACAAGTTTTATTCTTATATCAATGATACTTATGGTCTTCCTACTAAGAAGCTTATCAACAAACTCACACGACTTAGTTATGCGTATGGTTAGAGAACAAAAGTGATTAGGAAGGTGCTGATTATCTGGTCAGGGTTGGTGGTCAAGATTCTGAAGATCAATGTGCAGCGACTTTTGGTGACAATGTTTCAAAGTCATTGTTGATGTCTCACATCTAGTCCTTCCTTTGCGATGTTACAAATTATTATTATGCTTCATGTTATTGAATCTTTCTGTTGTAGATTTTAGTTTCACTGAATTTCTTTACTTTCATATGTGCGCTAATATAAAATGTGACAACTTGAACTGTGGCGCACTATTGTGCGAAGTACCTCATTGGAAATTCAATTAACTTCAGTTCGAACTTTTAATAATAACATTGACAGTAATTACAATAAAAAGCTGTTCAAGATTATGGTAATTGTGCATGTAGTGTATACAGTGGAATGAACAGTTGAGTGGTGTTGTCTATGTATTCCGTCTAGTATTCATTTATTCTTACTTACTTGCGTTTGTCAGAATATGATTAAAATATCATCGGCATAAAATAGACTTGGGTTTTATCTTAAAATAAATATACTTCAATCTGGCTAATAAGATTATAGTTTCTGGCTACTCATTGATATTGAGTTTATGGAAATATGGTGCATTTCAACGTAGATTTCATCAAGAAACGAAATCATTTATAAAGAAAAATTGGACATCAGGGAGTACTGGATACTTATTTCGTTATACTTGAAGACTGCTTAACATCAAGCATTTATGACTTCTCCGGAAAGTCGGATGGACTGCCATCATGTTAAAAGATAAGCATCATCTTATTCAGTCGTCGACTGACTGACTGACTGGTTTTAACGTAGTACTGTGCACCGATGTGCAGCAGATCGAGTTGCCGCGCTCCATGTACCATACAAAGCAAGAGAAGAGAGTAAAG